TAAGCGCTAGTTCAGTTCTCCCTGTTCACTCAGGACGTAGCAGCTAACGTTAGCTAAAGCTTACCTAGCTGGCTAGCTGTATGATAACGTTAGTTAAAGCTAACCTAGCTGGCTAGCTCTATGATAACGTTAGCTAAAGCTAACCTAGCTGGCTAGCTGTATGATAACGTTAGCTAAAGCTAACCTAGCTGGCTAGCTGTATGCTATATGCTAGCATAAAGACTCAGCTCAGGATTCTGACTCTGGAATAATAAATAATAGTAGATGAAGTACTGTTGATGCTAATGCAGATGTAGTTTTCTGTTTTTGTAAACACCTGTATGGCCTTTCACACGTTTGAAATAATATAAACAATATCCATCACACTTTTGACTTTTTTTTTTAATATACACAGTACTTGTACTTTTACTTATACTTGTACTTTCAATACTTGAGTAACATTTTTTTAAATACTTCTACTTGCAATACTTAAGTACAAAAAAACTGAGTACTTCCGTACTTCCACTTAAGTATGGATTTGAAAGAACACTTCAACTTTTACTCAAGTCAATTTTTTTATATAGTACTTGTACTTCTACTCCAGTACTTTATACATCTCTGGTTTTTAGCCGGTCTAAGCTAACGGAAACGATTAGGTCCAGCACAGGTGGCTCTTGAACTTTGGTTCGTGGACGAGCTGTGACTGGATGAGAGAACGTGAGGCCATCGGGCCTCTGAGTTCTCAGAAGTGGTTGGTGTGTGTTTAACGGGATCGGGCTGCCATAAACCGCTCCTCTAAAGGCCGGAGCCGCCTCCTTCTGGGCTTCTCCTCCTTTGTTTTTAAGCTTTAAACGTGTCACAATTAAAGGAAAACGCATTAAACTACACACACATATTTATATATATATAAAATATACATTTCTGCTTTAATGTTGAGCTAAATCAAATGATTTTAGTGTTTTGAATCATAATTCATTAGATTATTTCCTTTACTACTTTGTCTTTATGTCTCCTTTCATTCTAATGAATTCTCTTAAAATGATGTCTTTGTTTATTTTCTAAAATTCCAGCAGACTTGGTTGGGTAATTTCTTAAAAATATATTATATTTCCAGTGTATTTCTTTTTCAGTTTATCTCCCAAAGCCAGTTCATTTATTTATATATTTATTTCGGATTTCTGTCTCTGTTTTATTACTTTAAACAAGAAAACATGAATAAATAAGTCAACCCAGTTCATTTATTTATATATTTATTTCGGATTTCTGTCTCTGTTTTATTCCTTTACACAAGAAAACATGAATAAATAAGTCAACCCAGTTCATTTATTTTTATATATTTATTTCGGATTTCTGTCTCTGTTTTATTCCTTTAAACAAGAAACATGAATGAATAAGTCAACTGGAAATGGAGAAACAACAGGACTCACTTTAAGAATAACCCAAAATATGTTTGTGAGTAAAGAAAATAAAGAAATCAAACACAGTGTCAGGAAAACGGGGCAGAGAGTTTGCACCTGTGTGCTAAGCTAATTTAGCCATGTCGTGCACTTGTTCTAAGCCTTTGACCTTTGACCTTTGATGAAGGCAACACATATGGTTTAGGTTCTGTTCTTTAGTCCAGTGTTTTTCAACCTTTTTTGAGCCAAGGTACAGTTTTTCATTGAAAAAATCTCGAGGCACACCACCAACCAAAAATGTTAAACAAATCTGTGTCCGCCTATAGTAACACTATAGTTATTCTTATTTTATCTTATCTTATCTTAAGTGTCTTGAATATGAATCAAATAAACATAAAAATGTATTTATCATATTTTATATTTCTTCTTTCAAATTGCTCTTAACATGTCCACTTCAATATACAAAATGATATACAAAATCTAGTCATAAGCAATTATTACATTATTACGCCATTATCACTAGTTCAGCAGACACTCAAAAATGGCACATTATTTGCAGATAATTAATTCCTTATCAAAAAAATTTTTTTAGACCAATGAGGTGAAATGGGATGATTTTCTACGGCACACCTGACCATCACTAACGGCACACTAGTGTACCGAGGACCAGGGGTTGAAAAACACTGCTTTAGTCTTATTAAAACAGTATTTTATACTTATCTGCACTTTTCCGGTGACCCCTGCTCCAGTCGGGTCGAGCCGACCTCTGTTTGCAGTGCAGAACGTGCCCTGACCCCTGACCTTTGACCTTTGCTGAAAACAACACATATGGTTTAGATTCTGTTCTTTAGTCTTATTAAAACACTATCTTTTCCCTTTCAAAACAGTCTCCTCTACTTATCTGCACTTTTCCAGTGACCCCTGCTCCAGTCGGGTTGAGCCGACCTGTTTGCAGTGCAGAACGTGCTCTGACCCCTGACCTTTGACCCCTGTGTGTTTGCCTGGGCAGGTCACAGAGCTGGCGGGCTACACCGCCAGGGTCCACAACATGTTCCGGGTGTTCGAGGACGTCCAGAGGGGCGTTTACAAGCGCGCCTCTCTGTCGGACTCCAGCGGGACGAAGAAGAAGAGCAAACCGGAGATGCACATCGACGGGCCGCTGGAAATAAAGGGTAGGCCTAAGTCCCCCTAAAAGAAATAAAACAATAACATCTTAAAAACTAATGGAGGAATTACAAGCTTTTTCTGAATCTGTTAGCTTATTTTCCTACATTTATTTAAGTTTTGCTTGTTTTAAATAGTTTTTTAATTCAATTTTTTTATTCAAATTAAATCAAATTATTTAAATGATTTAATAATTAAATTATTTAATTTAATTCATTCATACATTTTTTCAATTTCTCTGTTTTTAAGCCAAAAAACCCCTAATATTTGATGTTTTGCTCCTTTAAAACGGGTCACAGACTCATCACAGAAATAAATCAATAACATCTTAAAAACTAATGGAAGAATTACAAACTTTTTTGGAATCTGTTCACTTTTTTTCCTACATTTATTTAAGTTTTGCTTGTTTTAAATAGTTTTTTTAATTCATTTATTCATTTTTTTTGGTAATTTTTTTTGTTTTTAAGCGGGAAAAAAAAACAATATTTTATTGTTTTGCTCCTTTAAAATGGGTCACAGACTCATCACAGAAATAAATCAATAACAT